CTCCCCAGCCAGTCCCCCCGCTGTCCCGGCTGGCTACAGGCATCCCGAGGGGCAGGTCCAGCCCCGTCCTCCCTGCTCTGCCCAGCCCTGGGGACCTGTCCCTGTGCCAGCTGAGACCAGCGCGCACGGTGGCACTGGCCAAGCAGCTCTGCAGAGACAGCCCCCGCGCTGGCACAGCCGGGCATGGTGCCCACCCCACAGCGGGGCACGGCAGCCTGGGCTGGAGCCTTGCCTCATCCCGGGCTCCTCCGAGATGCTGCTGTGTCCTGGGGCTGAGCAGACAGCCAGGGGCAGCAAGGGGAAACTGAGGCAGCCCCAGAGAGTCCCACGGAAGGGAGGAGATGGCAAAGGGAGACTTTCGGTACTGTTTAGTCCCTGAGCAGGGCTGGCAGCGGCTCCAGAGGGAAGGGGCAGTTGGCGTTAAACATGGGCACAGTGCTGCGAAGTAAGGGACTAAAATTAGGCGCTGAGATAAATCACCAGAGGTGCTGAGCCACCAGGGACACTGTCTGCAGCTCCATCCCCACCAGGGTGCCATTGCCATCGCCACGCACCACCAGCCACAAAGCATGCCCGAGCAGCCCTACTGTAACTCAGGGCTGGAAGGGAAGAGGCCGTGCAGGGCCACCATGCACGGGCAGCTCCTGCCCCCTTCCCTGCCCCCAGATCCAGACGGGTGCAGGCTGTTCCCCGGGCAGAGGAAAGGTTCCAAGGCGGTTTGATTGCTGAGTGCAGGTGGAGGCGAGTGGAGCGAGACCCTGCGCTGGGAGCCCAAGACAGACACATCCAACCTTGAAACAAGAGGCAGCCCCGGCGGGGAGGATCAGGCAGCGCTGGCACAGCGAGGGAGGGCTGGGCTCGAAAAGATTAGCCCGGGTTCTTAAGAGGTGATTTAATCTAGTTTAAGGGGAAAAAATTCAGGAAATGCAGGTGAGAGGTGATACAGGCTTTAGCTAGCCTGGGGGCAATGGAGACACAGTGGGGTCCAAGGCTGGCTGAAAGGGGCTGGAGGGTCCCTGGATGGTCCTGGGAAGCCTCTGGACCAGCCTGGTGCTGGTGTGAGAAGGGCCAACACACCCCACGTGCAACCATGGAGCTGGGGCGTGAGGCAGAACCCGCTGCAGCAGAGGGGCAGAGAGCAGTGGGACAGGGCGGGGATGGTGGGACGTGGCGGGGACGGTGTGTCCCTGGGAGCTCCTGTGCCTGGCTGCACAGCCAGCCCCACGCGTGCGCTCCCCGCTCCCCACACCGGGCACTGACGCACTCAAGGGACCTGAGAGAAGAGCAGGAGAAAATCATTAGTGGGGTGGAGCGACAGATTCAGGGCAAGGGATTAGAGAAGCTAAATCAGGCTCTTGCGAGCAAGGGGGAATGCTGAGCGGGTGCAGGAGGAGGTGCCGGGGCCGAGCACGGAGCTGGGCAGCATGGAGCCCCCCCCCCACCAGCAGTGATCTCAGCCGCCTTGGGGAGAGCCGATGCTGGGCCCTGCAGAGAGCTGCAGCCTGGCCCAGGTCTGGGGGAGAGGAGGCGGAGGACTGGGCTCTGTGCCCACTGGAGACCGTGAGTCAGGAGAGGCAAACAGAGCATCCCAATACCTCCAGACCTGGGGGTCTGGGACCCTGAGCCCTAAGAAAGACCTCATCCTTCCTGGTGACCCTGTGCACATCCCCTTGCCCCATAACCGGCCATTGACACAGCTCACAGGGCTCCCCAGGGAACAAGGACAGGGTGTCCCCGCCTGGCACAGGGATGGCTCAGGCACCAGTGGAGCTTCCACGGTCCCTGGGGTACTGTGTCTCAGTGGAGGGTGTGGGGAGCCCCTGAGCAGCCTGGGCCTCCGTGCCGGAGGCCCGTGAGCC